GTGTCCTCTCTCTCTCTCCCTGCTCTACAGACAGAGGGAAGAGGGGCGCTGCAGGGTTTGTCAGAGGTTTATTGATTAGCTCTGACTGGATCAGGGTGGGGATGATCAGCCGTGATGAAGGGACTTTACTGGTCACTGTCCTCATGTTTGCCTTCATCAGTGCTGAAAATCAAATATAATTATTGTGTGAGAAGCATTGTGTGTGTGTTCAGTGTGTAAAATAAGGCAGAACAGGCCCTCACATCAGCTGAAGAACACCAAAACACACAGCAGTGACACACGTATGATCACAAACTAGTGTACACTATAGAGTGAGTGTTCGTTCACTACTGAGGGACATTCACTTACACACTCTTACTGTGAGGGCAGAGTTGGTGAAGATGCTGGAGGACTAGTGAAGATGCTGGAGGACTAGTGAAGATGCTGGAGGACTAGTGAAGATGCTGGAGGACTAGTGAAGATGTTGGAGGACTAGTGTAGATGCTGGAGGACTAGTGAAGATGTTGGAGGACTAGTGAAGATGTTGGAGGACTAGTGAAGATGCTGGTTTACTGGGACTTGTCAGTATGCTACTTTACTGTAAATGGGCGTTCAGTGAGTCAGTGGGCAGCAGTGGGCAGTGCTGTGGGTCTGTAGAGGGGTGTTCAGTGAGTCAGTGTGTCTGTAATGCGCTGGTGACTCTGCTCTGACTCCTCATGCCAGTGTCAGGAGTGTTTATAACACATCTGCTCATTCATAGCCCAGCGCTGATCATTCATGAGTCAGGAGAATTCAGCATATAAACACACACACACACACACACACACACACACACACACACACACACACACACATACACACACACACACTCACACGCACACACACACACACACTCACATGCACACACACACACACACACACACACACACACTCACATGCACACACACAGACACACACACACACACACACACTCACATGCACACACACACACACACACACACACACACACACACACACACACACACACACACACACACACACACACTCCTGCTGTACAGCTGTGTGGAACACACGCTTGTAGAGTTTGTGCTGAACCGAGATTATATATATATAACACTGCCTCAGAGAACACCAGTAGAGGACACTGGTGTGTTGTGTGATGCAGGACATGTGTGTGATGTGTGTAACATTTCTAAACTAGACACTTTAATTTACTATATTGAAATTAAATCCTAATCAATTCATGATGAACTCTATATCATGGGAAAGCTCTGAGACTTCTGAATAAATGTCACCACTGTTATTTCAAATGTGTCTTAAAGGGATAGTTCACCCCAAAATCAAGACTCTGTCATTGATTACTCTCAACACCCTCAGACACAAATGAAGATATTTGGAGTGAATCAGAGCTCCTCAGCAGACCAAGAACATCCTCAAACCGCTCCACGTGTCTTCAGTGTTGAGCACTGATCACAGCACGCTCCACCTGCGCTTCAGAGTCAGGCTATGTTTTCAGATATCAGCTTTAAATTTGGGATGATGTCTGTTCATATTTATAACTTTGATTTTGCGTAAATTTGAAGCTAAAGGAGATTTTGTAAAACACATGATCCACTGAAATCCATCTTTTATGAGTGTAAGGCACATATCGTCTGATTGACTGAACTCCTCTAATATTAATGAATAACAGACTGAGCTGAAATCTTTGCACCAGATCATTGATGATTGTTGTCATTTACGGTGTTGATGTGGGACGGGCTGTTCTTGCGTTTGACTGTGTTTTGCTGTTGTGTTTTGGATGCTTGGATGAACGCTGAAGTCTGGTTCTGGTAATCGCGTTCGCTGGTGCCAGTAAAGTGTTTATCATCAGGCGGTTCTCCATTTTTCAGTGCGGTATTTTACTGTGATTTAGGCAGTATAACTCCGGGTAGGTGGTTATTTCTGAGGAATCTGCATTTTTCTGATGTTTGTCAGCATGTTTCTGCTGCTGACGGAGCTGTTTTCAGGAGTCCCGCTGTTCGACACACACAGTAAACATCAGAGAGAGTCTGAGCTCAACATGCTCTGCAGGAGAATATAATGTGCTTTAGTTTAATCATTAGAGAGATCAATGAAAGAGTTTTAACATGACTCCAGCTGCTTTCCATTCTAAAATAAAAGAAACCAAATCCTAAATGTGAATTAGATTCATTTCTGTCAGGTGGAAATTGTAGCTAACTATAGTACTGTTAACCTATACTCATATAATTAACTAATAGAGTCACGGGGCTGAAATAGTTGCACTTCAATCTTGCATTATTCACACGAACACTTTTACACACAAGTCCAAATCCTCCCCATTTGAGTGTGAAAATGTATTGAAAATTAAAGAGTTATTGGAGACGCTGATCACTGTTTCTCATATGAGACTCAAACGTGTGTATTAACACAGAAATCCAAACACAAGAGAAGCAGTTCAAGAGAGACGTTTCCCTGCGGTGTCTGTAAAACTCTGTGGTTTATTCCTGAAAACAAGGCAAAAAGTAAATAATTATATTGCTTTTGTTAGTTTTTAAAAATATATATATTTTAGAAGTTGTCAGATATTAGTAATATAAAACAAAATATCATTGAATTCCTATTTATTATTTAATTTTGTGTACAACAGATTAAGTACAACAGGATTATATAATAATACTTTTCATGAGCTTATTGAATACCGTTAAATTGAAATGATGCGGATATATATTGGTGTTAGTGTGTGTAAACACTCATATGAACTGTTGAGTAGCTCTATTAATGTTAGTTTTTATTTCTGTTTGTCATCTCGGGGGTTTCTAGTGTTCCTGCATGAGCCTATCTCAGGATCTCTATCTACTATAATAGTGAAGGTGTTGAGTGACCCTGGCTCTGACTAAAGCAGAAGTGTGCCGTTTGCTTCGTCTTTTCCTGAACAGAAAGTGAATATCACACATTTTCATTCTGTGTTTCCACACAGCTCTTCCTCCTTTATGTGTAAGATCATTGACGGTCGCAGTCATGTGCTGTCGGTTTGTGAAAGTGTGAGGCAGAATGACTTTCACCTTGAATGATTTTCTTCTGTGTGAATCGATTGAGATTATCGAGGAACTTCGACATCGTAATGTTCAAACGTTTAAGTCTAAATGTAGTTATACTCAAATTCTGACAACTTACTCATGTGCTGTGTATAAATACAGACAAATCAGAGTCTTCAGAATAAGTGTGAAGTCTTTATACTGTAAGAAGCGGCTGGATGTGCTTCATGCTGATTATTACACGGCTGCTGGACACAACACTGAACACATTTGAGCTGTCATCATTTACTGACTCTCTAATTAAACATGAAGCATGCAGAAAGTAAATGACTGAACAGTGACCTCAATAGAACCTGTCTGACCAAGTGAAGTAGACCAAAAGATCCTCAAAACTGAGATGCTGCACTGTCAGAAAAAAGGGTACGGTTGGGGTACATTTGTGAACACTTGGGGTACAAATGGTGAAGTTGTACCCTCAATGGTTCAAAGTAGCACCCTAAGATACTTATTTGTACCATTTAAGGGTAAAAAAGGTACAAATATGTTCCCAACTGTCAAAGGGTCCATGTTTGGGCCATTTAAGGCCCAAAGAAAGGTACAATCACTTGTGTGAAAAAGGAGCAAGTCAACGTGTATGAAATGGTCCTTAATTTATGTCATGAGTTGTTGGTTATTTGGAAGAATGCACACAAAAAACTGTACATTGTAAATTAAATTATTTAATTATATAAAACATGGCCTTATAAATATTATAAATTAATATTTTTAAGAAAATGTTAACATAAATCCCCCTAAATGTAAAGTGAAATGGCTAATTATACACAGACCTTTCTTTGATTATCAGATTTAATAAACTACTAGAATGGACATACAACTATAAAGTAGATGAATACAATAGGAATTAAAGGTAACCAACTTGGTAAACAAAGACAGAGTGCAACCTTGTAGCATTAATAAATAAATTAATAAAACAATTTTAAAACGTAACAGAATAATACTGCCAAAATAATACAGCTGAGAACAAATAATAGATTTAAAAGACCAAAAACTGGCCGTTAGATATACACAAAATGTATTAAATATCGTGTTTTAACTACAAGAGGGAGATTGAATCCAGCGGCAGATGCGAGGTTGACTGGCCGAAGTAAAAGCTGCTGTCGGCGGGGGAGAGAATCATAAAGCTCCCGCTGAAGAGTCCGCTTTCACTGAAGCACATAGTCAAAGAAGCGCTGTCTTTTTAAATAAACTGCCGATTCCAGTTTAAAACAACTACATTCTCGCCTGAAATACTCTTAAAACTACATTTTGTGAAACATTAGATGATATTTTTTTAAACTTGCGGGTCTGCACAGCAGGGTATTGTCCATTGACTTTCACTTAGCATTAGCAGCCAGCAAATTTGAATTCGTGTTGTCCAATAGGATTTTTGCCCGCGCCGTGCATTCATAATGCCAGCTGATTAACGTTACGTGCGACGGTTAATCTTCAGCTGTTGCACTGTTCCTGACGCTCTTCTCGGCGTCGACGGAGGATGGACCTGAAGGACGCAAAGAAGCTGGTGAAGACGAAGCACAGACATTTGCAGGTAAGTTTAATGTTAAATAACTTATTGTAAATATCCGTTGGGTCATATTCAATTCATATTTGACGTTACTTTGCCTTGTGTATGTAGTTAAGTTTAACGTTACCGTCGAGTTACCTGCCGCGTGAGGGGACCCTTTTGTAATTTAAGATTGACCAGAAATTAAAATATGATTTTTTAAATAACCTGGCCATGAGACAGAGCTGGAGACACTGGCAAAACAGCGGTGAAACGTCCAGAGAAACAGTTCAAAACACATTTAAGTTAACGTTAGTTTTGTTTGGATAATGTGGTTAACGTTAAGTCTTTATTGCATACGTTATTTATAAACTCAGAATTTCCTTAGTGTTGGGAAGCTAACATTCATGCTAACGTTCATGTTTATTTCGGAAAGGAGTGAAGTGAATGCCTTCATGTCTGAAACATATAACTTTAACGTTAGTTTATGCATATCTCGACCCACGTCCATTTATAGCAGTTGTATTTTGCAACGTTACATATTTAAATAACGTTATAAATGCATGTCCAAGAGAGTCATAATCATCTGTCGTGTCAGATCGAGGTGCGGGTCATTTATCAAACCTTTAAGTTGCTAATTTAAAGCTTTTTTTTGCTGTTAACCTCAAGTTCACACCGATCATAATTCTTTTTCTTTCAGAAAATGAAGTGGACGAGGAAGCAGTAGAGTGTAATAACGTAAGTATTTAGTATTTTGTATTTCATCTGTTTGTTAATAATATATATATATATATATTATATATATTTATAATGTATGTGTGTGTGTGTGTGTGTGTGTGTGTGTGTGTACTTTTTCCCCAGGAATTCATTGTGCAGTCTTAAATTTAATCTCCCTTTTTCTATGAAACTGTTAGGTGAAGTGTTAAAGTTATATTTGAATTTTTATGATTGTCATTATTTTGCACTTATATTTGATCCAATAGGTGATTGCTGCAATTGGTGAGGATGCATCATCTTTTGAGAGTAATGCGAATGTCCTGCGTATCCAGTGAAATAAGGTGTGTGACCCTTTATTAAAAACACCCTTGTCAGTGAGATCACACATTTTAAATCAGTTCTCAGTTTAAATGAAAAGTTTAATGTCAGTAATAGCCAAAGTGTAGGATCAAATGACTATTATAAATGTTATGACTATTGTAAAAATAAATTTAATTTTTAAGCTTTGTGGTGAACATATGTGCATTCAAGTTTACAACTATTTGTACAATAATAACTTAAGGGGAATTGGCAACAAAGAATATTAGATAATGTTTTTAGTTAAAGTGAATCACTAATTTCCTTTTTGTTTATTATAGTCATGGTGAACCTGACTGAATGCATTCATCAACCATCTCCAACCAAGTCAGAGCTTCAAGGACAGCTTGTGCTAAAGGTGCCTGAGCTTGATTAAGAAAAAAAGCATCTCCACTGGCCAAAGTCTACAAAAAAGCAAGAGAATAGAAGTTCGCAGATGATCTAACAGGTATTAACATAAAACTTACGTAATAATAATTTTGCTAGATCACAACCTTATTTCTTGGATGTGATCATTAAGTGCCTTTTCAAGCTGCATTTAGCAAGTTCAAACTCATGGGCCTTATATACAAACCCTTTATATACAGAACATTCCTTAATGTTTTTCGTTAAAAAAAAGGTAATTCATAAAAATACATCAATATCTTTTATTCAGCATTTGCTAAACATTCCAATAATTTTTTCTTTATTTTAAAAACAGGTCCTTTATATTATTAAATTATTTAAGAGTACTTCATTATTTGTCTTTATTTTATTTTAAGGTGTCACAGTGGCGCAGTGGGTAGCACGATCGCCTCACATCAAGAAGGTTGCTGGTTTGAGACTCGGCTGGGTCAGTTGGCATTTCTGTGTGGAGTTTGCATGTTGTCCCCATGTTGGCGTGGGTTTCCTCCGGGTGCTCCGGTTTCCTCGACAAGTCCAAAGACATGCGGTACAGATGAATTGGGTAAGCTAATTTGGCCATAGTGTGTGAATAAGTGTGTATGGGTGTTTTCCAGTGATGGGTTGCAGCTAGAAGGGCATCCGCTGTGTAAAACGCATGCTGGATATGTTGGCGGTTCATTCCGCTGTGGCGACCCCAGATTAATAAAGGGACTAAGCCGAAAATAAAATAAATGGATGGATGATTTTATTTTGCAATAGATTCTGACTTTCGTGCAGCTCTAATTCTGCTCCCCCATATTCTTAAAGAGGAAGATGATTGCTTACAGTAATTACACTGGGAGAGGTTTGGGTACTGTTGGTTAAACACTTTGTAATACTCTGATAGATGTTATGCAGTTCTGACAGATTTTACATTGTTTATTCATGTCCTTTACTTTTTCTTTTCACAGTGGGATGATGATGATGCTCCATACCCAACTCTACAGATGGCTGAAAGTCCGTTTTAAAGGCATTATTACATCCTTCGCTGTTTACTGTGTTTTCAACTTGGCTTATCCACGCTACATAAAGAATGCAAAGGATGAACATCAGCAACTCCCCAAGATGGAACAACAATTTAAATTTGAACATCAGCAACGGTGTGAAGATGGAGATCCAAAATTACAAGAAAAATCAGTGCAGCTGTCCAAGAGAACTGGTATTGCTGGGTCTGCATCAAACAGCAATGCTTGGATCTTTGCATTTACTTTGGTGCATGCGTTTCGAGTCTGTGCATCAGTATTTTAAGACTAGCAGCTATAGACATTTCAATAACATTGCCCAAATCAACTGAGAAGCACAGGATGAAACAATGCTAAGAATTTTCTCCGCCCAACATCCTTGATGAGATTGACACATTCAGGTGCTCAAATTGAACTGTTATCGTGTGCATGTGAGACCGCTAATGAAGAAAAAAAGACACTTTCCTAATGAAATACATTTTAAATGTCAATACTGCACTGGTTTCTGTGTAGCAAGTTTTTAATTCTGCTGTTGTATGATTCATATTTCCATGCAAATACAGTAAGAGTTTGACTTTGAATGGGGTGTTATAAACCAAGACAGATGGACTTTCAGGCTCTTGAAACATACTCTGCTGATAAAATGTTTCTTAAGAATGTTTAGAAATTTTAAATTAAATGTGTAAAACTTTGATCAAAAGTGTTTTTGAGATCTAAAATGATTATGGGTATACTTTAAGTGACATGTTTCAATGTACTGTATGGAAAAAGATTGCTTTGAGATTCTTGATGCTTTTAGAAAATGTAGAATGCAGTGCACTAGCAAAAATGTACTTTTATTAGGTCTACTGTTGTTTTAGAAAAATTACTTTGTTACATTGGTAAAAATGCTCAGTGAAATGGGATGCACTGATGTTAAAAAAATAATATTAAGTTTTTTTGCTGTTTCATAAAATGTTTTAAAATGTTTAAGCAGCTATTTTTTAAGTTTATGCATCTGGTATGACTTTGTGATAGTTTAAAACTTTCATCTTCTAAAAAGGTGACAATGTTATTGTTTTGAATCTTTCAATGTGTGTTTGTGATAAAAAGTTACAGGTATAAAATTACAATTATCTTGCAGTTTGTACTCATGGGAAAATATTGCTTTTTATTCTTTTAAAATGATGTAATGTTTAAACATTCATCCTGTAAAAATGTTGATGTTTAATAAATGTGATAAATGAAATTTATTGTGTATGGAGTACAAATCTGAAATGAAAGGGTACAAAATTCATCCCTATGGAGGAGAAATTGTACCTTTTTTAAAGGTACATTATTGTACCATAGCCCAAGTAAGGTACAAATTAGTCAGCAGAGGTACATATTTGACCCATGAAGGTACATACTGCTAGGGTACAAATATGTACCCATGTGAAAGGGTACAACAGGTGTACCCTTGAGGGTACTGCCCCAGTGACAAGCCATTGTACCCCTAAAGGTACAAATTTTGCACATTTTTTCTGACAGTGTGGGATGTGAGTTTAAGCTTCCCCCTAACCCTCCAGTGTGGCTGAATTACAGTGATTCTGCTGGTTAGCGGTGTGGTCGCTGTGTGAGTTAGATGTGTAACCATATGTCTGTGTGTGTGCAGGTGCAGGACTCCTCTGGATCACTGGTCCAGGATCAGCAGGTCAGCGGTGTGGTCGGTGTGTGTGTGATC